GTATTCCATTCTCCAGAAAATAGACAATGCTCCCTTCCAGCGCATAAGGAAAAGCCTTCTGGCTACTTGTTTCCAGTGAACTGCAGTATCACTACTGATAGTGGCAGTTTCACTGGGAGGAGAAGCTGTTACCTCATTTGCATTACAGCCATGCAGCCGTGAATCAGCCATCAGAGCATCCAGCCAGCCAGCACCTTCGCTCCCCAGTGGCCACCCACTGTTTGGCCAAGGGCTCCAGATCGAGTCTGTGCTCATTCCCAGCAACGGAGGCGTTTTCTTGCTGAATGAAAGCACGGGCCAAAAGCACAAGTCCAGTTAAATGCACGATCATATTTAAAGTGCCCATTCAGTGAGAAAGAGGGCTGCCCCCGGGAAGCGGAGGGTGACCCGGTTCAGCATGTGTTAATCCTTTCCCTTGAACCATCTGCTGCTGCTGAACATTCTCGGGACTATTTGCCATCAGAAGCAAAGCAGCTTTGGGAGGAAAATTCGAATCAAGACTATGGCATGAGTTGGAGGGGAAAGGGTTAACCCTTTTTTGGCACTGCAGCCCTTATTTTCGGGGGGCTGGGAGGCGTGCGTTGCCTCATCCTGCTTGCAGAGCCCCTAACCAGACATACTTAGTAGGGGGGCACTTTTCTCATAATATATTTATATTTATTTTATTTTTCATATTTATATTTATAATGCAGCTTTGTACATAAATCTTTAACACTTACGGGAAAAACTGTTTATGAGCTCCCTGGAGGCCAGCTGGGGAGAGAAGCAAGCTGCATCCAAAGCACTGGGGAAAGATGTGTGTAAAATTTCCCCTCCTTGATGGGGAAGCTGCATATGGGAATAAATGTGATTTCCCCATGCATTTGTTGAAACTGTAAAAAAGTACTGCAGGGTTGAAAGAACGGCCACCACTTGGCCTCTACCGCACCTTTCGGACTTTGCCCTTTATACCTTTACAGGCCGACTCCTTAAATCAGCCCTCCCCAGCCTGGTGCCCGGGAATCCTGGGAGCTGCAGCCAAGAGGGTGCCGGGTTGGGAAGGCTGCTTCAGGGGGACCTGGAAGTCTGCGCCAAACCCCTCGCTGGCAGCTCCGCGGCCGGCGCGCCCAGAGGGGCTGCCGCAGAAGCAGGTCTCCCACCCTGGGGAGCCACAGCTCGCTGGGGCACCTCTGCCCTGCCACCCCCACCCCTGGGCCCTGGGGTGCCGCCGCGGCGCTCCCGGGTGCCCGGGCACCAACGCCAATCCTCTCCCAGGGGCAGAAAGAAAGAAATACCTGGGTTTTTTAAAAATGCAAATTCTGAAGCATGGGTGCATTCGCCTCTTAGCCACAAGCCATGCAAATATTTCAGCTGTGCAGAGGCCCATTTCCAGTGAGCGACTGCAAGTCACACGTCAAAAACCTGAGCCTTTCACAGTGCCCCGTGAAAGGACACCCACCTGACCAACAGGCGGTCCTACAGTGTGGGGAGGCTGGGGCTGAACGGAGCACCGTGCAGAGGAGTAAGGAGGAGACTGCACTGCCCCCCCCCCCACGCACGTCACAAGCTCCAGCGGCCTTGCATGCCGCCCACAGCCAGAGCAGCGGTCGCGTCTGGCCTTCGGCCTATTCCCAGGCCCTTTATCTCGATGGCCACTTCTGGCTGTCCGGGCGGCAGGAAGGTGGCTGAGGCACAGCTGCTGGATTCGTAACTCCAAGTGGCAGGAGTCTAAAAAACGAGGACTCTAAAAACCCTATGCCCCCCACCAACAATACTGGGAGGCCAAAGGATTGTGCCCCAAATTTTCCACACTGCTCGCTGCTTACAGCTAGTTTACGAGGAAACACAGGCAACGTACAGTTAAAATGCACATTTTCCGTCTTAAGCATTGCTCAAGAATCACATGCCCAGTTTTCTGTATTCCAGAATCAACTTGAGTATCATGTCATACACAACCACGCAGTCATTTGACTGAGCTACGGAATTTATCCATCCAGAGCCGTTATTTCAAATTAGTCAGACATTTTGCAGTCTGAAGACTCTGGGGGACCACTTTGATTGAGCCTACAGACTGCAGTGCAACCCCAGTCTCGCAATGCAGCAGACAAGAATAAAGCACGGCTTGATTCAACTCCAACCCCAACCCCCTAAAGCTGGGTTCCGCTTTAAAGGATGAGGTTCATGATGTGCAGCTTGCAATCATTTGCTGGAAATGGGGCTTCGCACAATTTACTTATTTCCAGCCTTGTGGTTAAGAAGTTAACACATTAAAAAAAGGTGAAGTCCAAACAATTTAAATATTCATTTGATTTCCCCAAGAGAGAAGTCGACATTCTTCTGAAACTAAGCCCGACCCGTTTCCGCCTGTGAGGTACGATTTTAATAAGCCAGTTCTAACATGTGACTTTGCCCTGCACCTCCCGTTCTTCATACTGCACAGAACCCAAGAATTCTTCCCAGCAAGCTTAAAATGTGTCGATCGCACAGGCAGGGGAAAAACGTCTCTTTTGCGGCCAGTTCCTTGCAAAGCTCTTTTTGCTTGCACAGAGTGTGTGTGTCCTTCAATTCTCCCAAAGCCGTGGGTTGGAGCATATTCAGTTTTATCACATGCTCACACCCCAGCACCCAGGAATACGGCCGATAGCCCCGCAGCACCCAGGATGGGGTTAAAGAATGGCTACTGGGAATGCTTCCTTAGCCCCCCCCCCCCCCGCTTCGTGACCTATGATTGAAAGCCCTCCTCGGCGTGACGGCCCTGCTCAGCCCCTCTGGGGACACCGGCCATGGGGCTGCCGGGTTCAGCCTTCCCAACCCAGTGCCCTCGAGACACTGGTCGGGGCTGGTGGGAGCTGAAGTCCAAAGCATGCGGAAGGCACCAGACTGGGGAAGTCTGATCAGATGCGACACTGCAAAGGGCAGAGTCCAGAGCCTGAAATTACCGAACGGTGCAGGTGGAGGAGGCAAAGGTCCACTCTTTCAACTGCCACATCAGCCTGCAGCATTTTTTATTTTACAATTCAAAGAAATGCACAGGGAAAAACATTTATTTCTCTATGGAATTTCCCCCTCATATACGTCTTGTGCACAGCTTTTCCCCAAGACACCCATTCTTGCATGCAACCTTTCCGCCAAGAACGGCACTACAGAATTCGAAGACCCGAACTAGAGAGAGCACGATGCTCTGAACCTAACCGCACGAGACGTGCCAATTGCAGCAGCTATTTCCAAACTGCAGGCCAGAGCGGTTCCCTCCATGCGCGGGCCGCTCCTCCGCCAGAGGAAGGCTGCGCGAGCATGGGGCCTTCTTGCGCATTGCCTCATCCTTTCCATCCCCACAATCCTATTATTATTATTATTACTATTATTGTTATTATTATTATTATTAACATTTCTATGCCGCCCCTTGCAGAAACCTCGGGGTGGCTTACAACAATGAAGCCTTTGTTACCTGTGGAAAAATGCGCTGACCAAAAGCAGAAGCTCTTGTTCCTTTTTTCCAAACCCCGCTGTCTGACTTGGCTCTAAAACTAGCCATCGACAATGGGAAAAAACCAAAGGTGCGGAATGGGGAAGAAACTGCGTATCAATCGGGGGGCGTGAGCAGCCCTCCTCTTCAGCTTATCCTGACTTAATCGCAGAGTACCATTCCGTGGAATTGCGGGTCAGGTTTTCCCCCAGTAATTTTAGGCATATCTAATTGTAGGAAAATACTAGAACGACTAACTTAAAATGCACATTTCTCCCCATAAAGTATTGCATGAAAACACAGCTTACATATGGTCACGTATTTGGGACGGATTCGAGCCTTTTTGGGGAGAGTGAATTTGCGTTAAGTGTGGAATTGCACACATGCAGATCAATACACTAGCCCGAAATCCAATCCTATCAATGAGCAAATGACAGAATGAAAGACACGTGACAATCCTCCGCAACGCTCATATGGAAGAGCCTCAGTCAAGTCTGGCAGCCTTGCCTAAAATTCACGCCTGTGGCAAGCGGCCACCTGAGCAGTGTTGATCAAAAGTGAACAGATATCTCAGAGGAGCTCCAATCCCCCGCTTCAAACCTGCTTTCAGCCCCCTAAATGCCCTTTCGTTGCAGTTCTGACCTCGTAGCTCCTGCGGCTGGAAAAGCACCGCACAAACTTTGCGCAAAGAGCACCCCCTGCTGTCGCCCAAGGTCCTGTGTCGCAAATTCAGTTCTCCAAGCAACTTTGCGCAGCAACGGCTCCACACAAGGGGGAACCCCAAATTCTGCAGAAGTATCACCCCCACCCCCTAAAAAGCCGTTAAAAGGAAGGGGAAACACCCGAACAGCCTGATGGATACCGAGCATTCTTTGTGGGCAAGAAAGAAAGAAAAGAAAAGAAAGAAGAAGAAAAAAATCGGAAGAAAAATCCAGGGGGTCCAGTGGACTATCGGGAAAGAAAGCGCGGCTGCACCTCAACTTTTGTTCCAAGGACCAACTTTTAATTTCTAGATGTTTCAAGCCTTCTTTTCCAATAGCCTTTAACTGCTTCATATCCGGCAGTCAGCTAGCAGTACAATCCTACACGTTTATTTAGGAACGAGTCCTGGGGATTCACGGTGCCGAGGATCTCACCTGAACTCCCACCTGCACGACAGTATCCAATTTTGTCTTTCCCGTTCAACTGCTATTAAATCTATTTTTATAAACAAACCAGCCCCTTCAGCACAATCTGACGCCCACTTCCATGGATTTTATTCCGCGTTGAAAGACATTAAAAATAAAACAAAGGAAAAGCAAAACTTAGAGCGAGTCTGACAACATCCCCACCTGTGTTCAAGAATACAGGTGGGTAAAAGGTAGACCTCCAGATGCTTGGGGCTTCCAATTCCCAGGGACACCCCTGGCAGGAATGCCAGCAGCCCCAGCCCGGAGCCTCTGGCGGGCCTCCTTTGCCACCCCGTTCGAAAGATCCCGCTGCTTGTCCGCTCAGCATCGGAGGCTCACGGTTGCAAGACCCGAGGAACAAACAGAAGTGAGAAAAGAGGCGGCACTAGGGAAGGGCAGCTTTATTCGGACGGCTTGCGAGTCCACTAAACCAGCGGCACCTCGAGAGTGGCGAGCGGCGGGAGGGCACACGCCACGGACGATGACGCGGGGCTGCTGTTCCTCTGCAACCAGCCTAGACCGGGCAGGAGCCCGCTGTCTCCAGGGAGGGGTGCTGCCCACCCCCCGCAGCCCTGGGCCCTGCCCGGCAGCCGGACGCAGCGGCCTTTCTGCCTGAATTTCTTCCCAAGGCCCAGAGCGCCTCTCGCCGCCGTCTCTCCGCTGCTTTGCTCAGGAGCACGAGGGCGGCCACCGGAACGGCTCCGGGGGCTCGGAGGCGGGGAGGATGGAGCCCAGCACGCCGGCAGGACGGGCCCGAGCACCGGTGCCGCAACGCAGGGGTCCCCTCCCGGAGGGGGTCAGGGGGCTCCCCCGGCAAAGATGAGCTCCAGGGCGGCCTGGATGTCGCCCCCCGTGGCCTGCAGCGCCCGGAGGCTCAGCTCATTGTCGTGGATGCCCATGTCCCGCAGCTGCTGCAGCTGCGGCTGCCACTGGTTCTGCGGAGACAGGAAAGCGAGCGCGTTCTCAGCGCAGCCGGAGGTCGTGGGGCTTCAGCCGAGGAGACCAAACCCCCACTCAGACCAAGGCCAATAGCCTGTCCTCCCTCGCAGGGTTGTGGTGCAGGAGAACCAGTGCGGAATATTGGCTGAGGGTGTGGGGGGAGTCGTGGGAAAGCTGTGAAGCAACCCGGGTGGTCCTGACTCCAGCGGATGCTGAGCCGAACATCCCAAAAACGGAGCGGGGGACCAACATCGGGCAAAACGGGTAGGGAGGAGAGATTGTAACTTGATGGTTCCTGGGCCCAGCAAGAGGTCTGGGGGCAGAAGGGGGGAAAAGTGGAGGCGGGAAACGCACGGCTTGCAAAGCTGCGTATTAAGGCTTTCTGGGCAAAGTCCCTTGAACAGACCCTGTGCTTTCATCCCGTCCTGTGTGATTCAGCACCTTTGCTCAGTCGTGGCTATTTCACAACAGCAGAAAAAGCTCACGCTTGTGTATCTGCGGCAGAGTTCAGAACCCAGAGCGATTCAGCTCTCATCAATAACAAGAAGTTTCTAGTCCTTATGATTCTAACACTGGACCGAAAGGTCACAGATGGGTAATGGGGGCATGACTTGTCAGTGCCTGGAAGAGCACGGGGGAGAAATGTCTGCCGAATGAAAGCAGGCAGGGCCACGCTTTGTTCCACCTCTATGAATTATAGAGACGACAAAGCATTCCTCGAAAAAATGTGAATTTGGGCCAGCCGTGAGAATTGGGGTGCAGTCCGTTTTCCCAAGTACAAGGCCCTGGACAGGCGCACCGCATCCAGTCACACATCGTTCGGAGGCGGCTCCTGCCCGCTCCCCTGCAGGGCAAGGCTGGAGGCCGCCTTGGGGCACGGGGCAGCCATCCAGCCGGCCGGCACCAGCCAGGGCCCCGCGCAGGGATCGGGATCGGGCGGGGTGGGCGACTGACCTGCAGGCTGGGCTGGCCGGACGCCTGCAGGGCATGCTGCAGGGCCTGGCTGAAGAGGTCGTTGGTGATGGGGGTTCCCGACTGGACGCTGGAGGACAGGGGGGACGTGCCCGAGGAGTGCCCCTGCAGGAGAGAGGAGGGGTGAGGAGGGGCGGCCATCGCTGCGCTGCCACGCGGGGCCCGGGAGCGCCAGGCAGGGCCCAGCTGCAGCCCTTCCACCTGCCCGCTGCAGCCGCCGTCCGAGCTCTTCCGCCCCCCCGCCCGCCCTCCCTCCCTGCACTCCTAGGGAAATGGACGTCCGGGGACCCCCTCGAGGCCTTCCAGCATCTGCAGCTCCCAGGCGGGGATGAGGCGTGCCTGCTCCGAGGTCCACGCTGCGGAGGCCCCGCAGGCCCTCTCCCCCCGCTGCTGCCGGGACCAGGCGGATGCCCGCCCTGCCGGCCAGGCGCCCCCGCTGCCCCTTACCTGCGTCCCGGGGGTGGGAGTGTGCGAGCTGCTCTCCGGGGTGCTTGCCAGGGCCAGGGCCGTCGCCAGCTCACTCTGCGTGATGGGCCGCGGGCCGGCTGCCCCGGTGTAGCCCAGCGAGGCCGGGCGGGACCCCGAGGCGCTGCTGGACGGGGTGGTCCGCGCGCTCTGTTGCGAGGGAAAAGGCGGCCAGCTCAGCACACAAACGTGGAACCGAGTGACCCAGCACCCGGACGCACGCCCTCCCTCAGCCTGGGCTGTCTCAGACACGTCACCGGTGAACTCCCATCAGCCCCGGCCAGCACGGCCAATGGTCAGGCATCATCGTGGGAGAAGCCGTTGCAGAGGCTGGGGAAAGCTGTCTCGGCTCTTCCTGGAGGGGTGCCGACGCAAAGAGGGCTGTGAACACTCAGCGCCTTTTACAAGGGGCCTCTTTGCGCTTGTTTCTCAGCCGGCAGAACGCGTTCACGCCGCGTCTTTAGCGACTGCGCCGGTGGCCTCGCCAGAGCACACAACGCAAAATATGCTCATCAGTTGCGTCTCTGGCACAGAGGAGCTTGGAGCAGAGCTGGCAAGGAGGAGCTAATATGCCATATTAAAATGCAAAAGGGATTCACAAACAAGCATACTCCTGACGACATTTGGGGACCGCTTGTCGAGTGTGAATTAATAAGAGTGTGACTCTTCACAAGATTTTATGCAATTCTGGAAGGGGAACGGGGCATCTTGAAAGGGTAAATGATTTAGGAGGTGGTGGGTGTACTCTTTTTGTTATGGCTTCCTATAATTTGTGTCTTCATTTTGTATTAATTTTATGGAATAAATTGTTTTAACAAGTAAAAAGGAAGCTGCCCCAGAAGAGCCAGTTCCTAGGTCCACCTCGCATAGTGTTCTTGACACTGACTGGCAGCAACAGCCCCCCGGGGTATCAAGCAGGAGCTGCAGCCCCACCAGGCGTTCTGCCCCTCCTCAAGAGGACAGACAGAACCCCACGCAAGAGGCGTGCTCAGCCACTGCACACTGCAGAGCGTTTCAGTTTCCAGACTCCTACTGCAGGAGCCGAGCTCTTGGCTCTCCCGACTTTACCTGAAGGAAATCGTCTTCATCATCGGAGAGACCTTCGAAGAGGAAGCCGCCTGCCCAAGAAAAAGACACTGCACTGAAGCGAAACCGATTCCGGCCAGCCAGACCCTTTTCGAAACATCGCATTTTGGGCTGCTCACATTTGTTCCCGCAGGTTTTCCACTGCTTGCTGTGGCCACCGGGCTTTTCATGGGCAGGGGAGGGGGCTGCCTTCAGAAGGTCCCCTTCCCACAAAGGCAGGACCCACCTCTGCACACCTTGGGGCACCCACAACCTTGCTCCCACTTCCTCGTTGTGACCGTGTGGGCAGCCATCTTGATTCAGCTCGCGTTCCAGCCGTCCACCTCCTGATCCGTGATCCCGGAGCACAGCTAATCGGGTCCTCCGGGTGCTCTGGGCCACGCTGACTAGGAATGAGGCCCAAGCTTCTGATCCCCACCAGCTCCCCTGAGACTATCCTGCACCCCCCGTCTGGGAGCACGTCACTCACCTGGCATGTCACGGTAGGAGCTGGAAGGGGCGCTTCGCGAGGAGGTCTCCCCCGTGGGCAAGGGCGTGCTTCCTGCCACCGAGTGGAGGACCAAGACAATGGCATTCACCAAAGCAGGATGGGTTGGGATGAGCCTGCAAGAAGACAGCCAGTAAGTCTGGGGCGGGGTGGGGAGCTAAAGGTGGAAGGGACCTCAAAGGCCATCCAGCCCCACCCCTTGCCAATGCAGAAAATCCACCATCACGGATCAGCTTTTGCTTAAAAATATCATACGGAGAGTCCATCGCCTTCCAAGATGGCCTGTTCTGCTGTTAAACAGCTCACACTGTCAGGAAGTTGTGAAAGTTTAGTCAGACCCATGGCAAGACGTGGTTTGAGGTCCGATCCAAGTTTATTAGTTTGGCTCAGACACAAAATGGGGAAGGGGGTTCAGAGGCAGCTCCTGCAAGGAAACAGGCACTGGCTGCCAGCGTTCAAGACTGTGAAATTCTCTGGACGGACGTGGCGGAACGCTGACGAGAGCCTGAACTTGCACTGGTTGGACCAAGGCCTGGGAGAACTTGAGAAGCAAGGCTGAGCTGAGCTGCTAGGGATGAACCAGCTGCTGTTTTGGAGCGGGAGAACACCAAATGCTGCCTCCTCTCGAGTCAGGCCTGCGGTCCACCTAACCAAGTCCTGCCAACACTGGCCAGCAGCGGATTGCAGGCAAGTTCCCCCCAGCCCTACGTGGCGACAGTGGGCATCCAACCTCTGAAGGCCAAGCATGTGCTGATTAGCGCTGGACAGAGTGAACATGAGCACAGAACGCTCGGCGACCTTTCTGTGGACACAGAGAGGACGACGGGCCAACACAAAACGCCTCCCATGCCCCGTTGCCGTTAGCTGGGCCTGACACGGCACTCAGTCCCCAGGCCAGCCAGATCCAGTACCTGCCAGCTGGAAGGGAAAGGCCTGGAAGACACACAGAAACCATCTGCCTGCGCTGGCCAAGGAGCCATTTCCTCCCCTGCCGAAAATGCCTGCACTGCATGATAGGACTGTTGGCAGAGGGGGAAGGGCCCAAGAAGGCCGCCAGGCCCAGCCCCTGCTGCTGCAGGTCACGCGCTTTACACCGTCTCGCCCTTCACTCACGGAATCTGGAATCTGGTCCATGCTGTTCAACAGACTTACGTGTCCAACATAGTCGGGTCAGCAAAGATGGAGAAAAGGTCCTTATCTTGTAAGACACCTGTCCAAGAGAGAAGCCATTGAGCCCAATTAGACGGATGAGTAATCTCCACGAAGGGGCAAGAACCATACAAAACCAATCCATTCCTATGGGTCCGGAGAACTGTCTATGATTGGAAGAGTGGTTAATTATGGGTTGTCTCAACTTTTCATACTGCCAAAGTTACTTGAACTTAAATGATGGGCGTTGAGCCTTTTATTTTGCTTTTATCTGACCTGTAATAGTATTTTATTTATTTACTCAAAGTTTTTATATGCCGTCCAATAGTAAAGTCTCTGGACGGCTTACAAACAAACAAAAACAAAAAAACTCCAACCATATACAACAAACAACACACTGCATCCAATAAATGATGATAAAATCAAAGATAAAACCAATTAACTGTTAAAATGCTGGTAAAATAAAAAGGTCTTTGGCTGACACCAAAAAGAATAAAGCAACGGCGCCAGCAAACCTCCCTGGGGAGCAATAGTAATTATTACTACTAGTAGTTACTGTTCAATAATAGTAAGCATTACTAAACAGTAAGAGAGCAACAGTAATAATATTATTACTGTGACTCGATGGCTCTGTGCCAGCTCCAGCGTCAGGGACAGGGCGCTTATCCACACCGGTGGCTGGGGAGCATGGGCTGTGGCACTCAGGTCCCGCCTGCGGGTTTCCTGTAAGCAGCTGGCTGGCCAGAGTGGAACAGAAGCCTGATGGGCCTCCGCCCGGCGCAACGTGCCTCCGTGCCGTTCTTGAAGAAGGCGAGAGAAGAGGCACAGCACGGGGAATCCATGCCTCCAGCCAGGAGCCACGGCACGGGGGAAGCCGCCCCCTCCCCACACATCCAGCCGTGCTTTCCGGCACCCACCCAAAGCAATTGGGTCGTTGCTGAGGCCGGGGGTGGCGACGACGATCTGATCCAGCGACTCCTTGTTGCTCAGCATCTTGAAGACCTGCGTGGGGAGCAGAAAGAGGGAGAGAGAGATTGGCCAAGCCACGCGAGGGGGGCTGAGGGTCTGGGGCCACTCCTCCCCGATTCCTGGCTGCCTGCACTCACGCCCCCCGGGAAATGGGGCGCAGGGGCAGTGCAGGGGGCCCGTCGTGCTCACCGAATCCCTGAAGACGGGCCGGCTGTGCAGGGTGCTGTGCAGGGCCCGGAACTCCTGGACCGCCGTGGCTTTATCCACTGGCTCTGGGGAGAGAGAGAGAGGAGTGATTCCACACCCCCCAGAATAGCTTGCGAGGAGGCGGCTACGCTGAGCGGCCGGTGGGGCTGCCGCATTTCGGGGGGCCTCCCCACAAGCTGGTGTGCCCAGTTGGTGCCTGCGGTGCCCGCAAGGCCAGCCCCCAACGCCAGGTTCCAAAACGGATGCAGAGAATCACCTGGCACTGGGAAACTCTCCACCGTTAACGGAGCGACAGAACTAAGAGGCACTTTGCTCTTACGGGGAGGAATGTCTTAAAAAGTGCCACGAGAACGCGCGGCGAGCTGGCTTTTAATTTGAGCGGACGGGGCACTGAAGATAAAGCTGAGGGAGCTAATATACCAGGACTGGTGTGGGCAGGGTGTGCCCCCTCCCCATCCCATCCAGCACCAGGCAATTCCCTCCAGAGAAGGCAGTCTGAGCAGACAGGGAGAGGAAGGTTAAGACCGCTTCCATTTTCACTGTTTCGGCTCCCATCCGTTCCCCCAAACAAGGACCCCCCTTGTGCGCCATCACAAAGCAGCCCTATTATCCTACGGACTGTGACTGAGCGTGTGCCCACCTGGCTTCTGTTCCGGCTCGGGCCAGGATTTGCGGAGGACGTGGACAGTGGAACCGGACTGGATCCCGTAGAACTCAAGCGTCTGATCATCTCGCAGCTTGCGACCACAGTAGATCAGGTCTGAAAGACAGCCCCAGCTCATTTGTTTTTGTTTGTTTACAACTGAATGCATAATCTGCCGAACCAATAATCCTGCAGGACTCTGGAAGGTGGGGAGGGTAGCACACCCATAAATGCTGATCCTGCTGGCCAAGGAGCAGGCAGTAATAATCTCCATTTTCTTGTGAGCCATCCAGAGACTCAGTGTGGTTGGACGGCCAAAAATAGCCCAAATAAATAAATAAATAAATAAATTTCCCTCTGCTGAAAAGCAAAGGTTTCTTGCAAATTCCCAAGCCTAAGGGGAAGGTCTGCAACTCAGTGGCAGAGCGCCACTTCAGATGCAAAAGGTCTTGGCCTCCATCCTGGGCATCTCTAGTTAAAAATATCAGCTCATAAGTTGTAGGAAAAATCTTTGCTTGAGAACATGGGCAACTGCTGACAGTTGAGGGGCGCAACGGTGCGGTGGGCAAAGTTTAGAGTTGTAACATCTATTTTGCTTTTCACTCGAATCCCTAGTTTTTCATTGAAAACCTGCCACCAACTGTTAAATGATGCTCAGTGTGGAACAGTTAATTTATCTTATTTTACTGTAGCTTGAAATAATGTTGAAAGCCGTCCAGAGACGACAGCCATGGACGGCATACAGATTTTTCAATAAATGAAATCAAGTCAACCTGCAGCTTACCAATGAGTTCCGGGTCAGGGATCGATTCCTGGAGCTTGCCCGTGATGAGCTGTTTCAGGTATGAGATGCTGCAGCGGCCCAGCGGGCACTCTCCCAGCTCGGTTTCCGGCAGCCGCAGGATGGATTTGGGAGCCAGAGGCTGGTCAGCTAGCTTCACTGCAATGTAGCACTCCAGGAAGGACATGGTGTCCGTCGCTCTGGGAGGACCCGATCCGGTGAGGCCCCAATCCAACTTCCAAGTGGGATCTGTAGAACGAACCCAAAAGCCTGCTTCCACAGGGGCCAGTCAGAGACCACCCGCCACCCCAAACCCAGGGGGGTGGCATGAAGGCAGTAAGTTTTGCCCCATGGCTAGTATTCAGGACTTGTTGCTTTGAGCCTGGAGGAGGCACAGAGAAAGGGGAAGCAGCCGAGCCACTTCTGGCTCAGAAAACGCCGCTCCAGCCGCCCTTCACTCCCAGCACCGGTCACGTCTATGCGCACTTGTTAGATGAGATATTAGTTTGAGATTTTATGCATGCAGCTGGCATTACTTGTAAAAGCAACACATGGTGCGAAATCACAAGGTGCCTGGTTCTGGGGGGAAGGAGCTGGATGAGCGAGCTCGGTGTTTCAGAGACGGGTGACTGTCTAAGGTGGGTGGTATTACAATGCATACACAGAAAAGATGACGCCACTCAAGCAGCTTCAACTGACCAAACCCTTATGCTGCAATCAGGCGAAATATTGTGCTGCGATCGGGTTGCAATAACGCGGGTTGGAAGCGCCGGTCGAAAGGGGGCCAAGTTGGGAGCAAGATGGACCGGGAGCCCAGATCGATGGTTGGGAAGCCCCAGCCCACAGGTCGGGAGGGTCCGCGGGCCGACGGGGATCTCGGAGGGAAGGTGGCGGGTTGGGACCTGGGCTATGCAAACGGAGGAAGGCCCGGACTGGGAGGCCTGGGCGCGGAGCTCCTGCGGGGCTGCGATTCCGGGCTCCTGCCTTGGAGAAAGGGCGCGGGTCACGCCGCATCCCGAGAGCTGCTTAATCCGCAGCTCTACCCACCAGGCCATCCTGCCTCCCGCCACAGAGGTGCTCCCATTCCGGGGAGAGGGTCAGAGGGAGCAGAGAGGAGAGAAGGCGAACAGCCCCGCGGCACGACAAACGGGCCCTCGCTCCCCCGCACCCGCCGCAAACCAGCGCACTCATCTTGCCCTACCTGGATGTTTACAACCGACCGCCTCGTCCAGCCGGAAGCGCTTGCCCGAGCCCGCGCGAGGCATGCTGGGGGCTGTAGTGCCGCCGGAAGGAGCGCTCACATTCTCCGCTACGCGACCGAGGGGAAGGCGAAGGACGAGCGGCGGAAGCTCCGCCTATTGGGCTGCCTCAAGGGGCCCTGGGAATTGCAGTTCTGAGGCCCGCGCGGAAGAGCGGGGCAAGAAGGGAGGAACGTTCGACCGAGCGTCAGAAAGAGGCGGGTTGTGACGTCAGCGACCTTCGCGTCCCTACCAATCAGAGAAGCGGAGGGAGTGGACCGGACCAATAGGCGTGCGGGACGCTGGGGCGCGGCACGTTTTAAAAACGTCAGGGCGCGAAGCTGTTTGTGCTTTGCAAAGTGGGCTTTTTGCACTATTTATTTATTTAAAACATTTCTATGCCGCCCCCGTCGCAACAAAGCCTCGGGGCGGCTCACAGCATAATTAAAATATATAAATAACAGTTAGTATATTAAAATTAATTAAAAACTTGGTAACATCTCGGCATAAAACTTAAAATCCTAAACTACAAAATAAATTAACAATTAAAATAAGTTTTAAATAAAAAGGTCTTCGCCTGGCTCCGAAAAACACTAGGCTTCCTTTCTCAGGTGAGTGTCTGGCTTGCTAAAGTGGGACTGCAGCTACTGGTGCCTTTGCTTTGTGCTGCCTTCGGGTCCCCCGAAAGCTGGATGGGCCTTTGTGTAACTGAGTGCAAAGTGCAATTTGAGGCCACAATTCGGAACCAAAGTACGGGGGGACGGAAAGGTTAATTGAATGTGATAATATCCATCAACTCTCACCCTGTGATACAGGGCGATATATGCACCCAAACTTATCTTCTCACTTCAGGAAAGGCTACATTGCACATTATGTCTCTTTTGCTATATTATACATATTTTTCCACTGTATGTTCTTTTACATTCAAAAGTATGTAGACATGAATGAGTACGGAAGAGCAAGGCTTTATCGAGGGAGCCCAGGGCTGATCTAGGCCAAACAGGTGCTCACCAAATAACACAGCAAGGCGGAGGTGGCATGAAACAGTTTGGGGAGCCCTTGATTTCTCCTTGGACCCCCGACATCACGGCACTTTTCGTATTTCATGGCCTCCTGGCACCCACTTCA